CAACAGATTCGTTGATAATTCAAACATGAATTATTGATTTAGCATGGTAACAATAAGCCTCAACAGATTCGTTGATAATTCAAACATGAATTATTGATTTAGCATGGTAACAATAAGCCTCAACGTGCTTTCCCTTTTTCACGTTTGGTTTGTTCCCAACAAGTTGAAGGGGGCTTAATGACCATGAAAAATATAAGGAGCTTAATGACCTTATTAATGACCATAAATAATTTTATAAAAAAAAATAACATTTTAATTATATAAAGACATTTTAATTTTTTTTAATCTCTCAAGATTGTGGATCCCCATCTTCAAGTATCAGCACCCGAACTAGGCAAATCAGCAACTGCCGACGCAACAATTAATTGGGCTTAAACATTAATCCGTTTCCCTCTTACTTTTGTAATTTTGTTTTTCTATTTTTAAACGGATTACATTGAGGTGAGGAATTCGTATCCCAGTCGGATTATACTTTTAACGGGACATAAAACTATCGGGTTACAAGATCTAAGTGTTTCTATATTTGTTTTGTTTTTTTCGAAGGAAAAATGAAAAAAAAAAAAGATAAAAAAAAGTCTCCTGGAGCTCATCGGTGTGTCTATTTCCCTTAGCACGGTCAACTGACTCCACCGGAAGTTTAGAAAGTTGTTGAAGATGCGGGCAGCAAGACTAGGGTGGTTCCTTTACCCCCAAAAAAAAAAAGAGATTGGGCTGGTTCGGATCTTCGCCGCCTTAGCCATCGGCTTTGTGGTACTTGAGTAAGTTAGTCTCTTTGCGTCTTGTTTTCTTGGGAATTACTGAAATAATGTCTTTCGCTTTCTACTTGGAAATCATGATCCTCTGGAAGTTTGTTTTACATTTGGCATTTTTGCATTTGATTTATTGGATTCTTTTTTAAATTGGATTAATTATCAGATATTGGCACGGTTTGATTGAGACAACATTCTCCAGTATCCAAAAATGTTGGAAAGATGGTTTAAGGGATTTCACAATCCAAGTAATATTTGCAATTTCTGCCCTAAATGCAGAACTTGATGCAAAAGTAAAGTAAAACCTGACAAGGTTATGGCTAAGAAATCTCGAGCCATCATCCCAAGTCTATGAAATCTTGCCAATTTTGGGAGGATGGCTTGCATTGCTTAGCTATATCAAGTTTTACATTTAAGCCGGAAATATGAAGATAAATCCAATCTTCAGTGATCAAGATCCAGAGATTTCAGAGGCAGGAGGGACATGCAGCCATGATTGGTTCGTATCCGCGAAATGATGCAAGTACAATTTTTTTTTTTTAAAAAAAAAAAATCTTATTATTAGTTCCAACAATCCTTATGCAGCTATGTAGTAGTCCTCCATACTCTCTTTTTTTTTTTTAAACGATGACAATTAAAGGTGAATGGGAAATAAGTTCATCCATGAGTTGAAAAAATACCAATTGATCATATGTTAAGTGCAAATATTAGAGAAATTGGTGGAATTCAAACTCTTGATCAATCTTACCAAATTATTAAAATTTAAGGATGAATTATTAAATTTTGAAACTGAATTTTGTTGTCCTCCATACTTGAGTTGTGTTTTTCTTGCCATTAAATTAATTAACCTTTTCACAAATATTTTGGGTTCCTTTTATATTTTATTAAAATTGTGGACTTCAACGTGGGACCAATTTATCAAGATATA